ATATGTATGACTCTCCCCTAGCAAGGAGAGCTGCCATGGAGGCATGGCAAAGCCTGGCTCAGCGCAAGGATGAAACTGTTAGATCATATATCAACAGATTTGAGGAACAACGAATATTACAGGAAGCACGAGCTGGTAAGCTTGACGACCTGACCCTCATCACCAAGTTCTCTAATGGCCTCAAGAGTGCGGTAGCACAAGCAGCACGAGCGATAGCAGACCCGTTGACGAGTCTGACATACCGACAGTATGTTCAGACGGTCGGTAACTACTCTCGTAGCTTTGAAGATGCACGAGTGGGCAACCCCCAGGCTATGTTGCTGAATCCTACTTCGACACTGGCTGAAGCAACGAGGGGTAAAACCACAGGGTTCGACAGGGTACAGGTCATGACGACGATGACACAACGAGCTAGAGAGAAGAAGGGATGCTATCGTTGTGAAGGTTTGGGACATGTAGCGCACAATTGTGATGCGGCTGCCCCTAAGGACGACGCCGCGAGATGCCAGCTGTGTGGTGCCAAATCACATACCAAGGCTACATGTCCCCGGAAATCCCAAGCCTCATCTATCAACTGTAAACGATGTGGTAAAACTGGTCACTACCCTGGTATCTGTCATGGTCAGAAAAGGCCACATGTTGGCCTGGTCGGTAGAGGCGAGGGATCTCGAGAGCGGAGAGTCGTTAATAACACACTGGAAACTGCTAAGGATGACGAAAAGGATCAGGGCGTGGACTTTACTGTCATGAACCAGGCTTGCGATTATCGCAATGCGATACGATGTGTACGACCTCTTCACAAACGATCAATGTGTCGAAATACATCTGCAATGACCCAAAACTTGCCTCGGTTATTGTTGGTGAAGTTCCGGCGTCTGGTTGCACTGGCAATTGCTTCCGCACGGAAGCTCTCATCGATACAGGTGCCGGAGCCTCATTTGTATCACCCTCTCTGATTGCGTTCGCCCTGAAGGAAGGAATCCTATCGGCCAAGCAGGTAAAAGAGATTCCATCGATAAGGGTGACTTACGGAAATGGCCAATCTGCCATATGTACACAAGCAGTGGACATTCCAATCCGGTCGTTTCACCTGGAGGGACTCTCGGCTCCGGTGGACGACACCATGTGGTTACCATGTCTCGTCATGCCATCCAAAAGCCGGGTCATGATCATTGGTAGGCCGGCAATGTCAACTCTGGGCTTGGATCTCATCTTCAAGTCGGGTACTGATATCCGAGGTGTCGAGGCCTCAAGCGCTATGCCCGAGGCTAGCAGGCCTGTCGAGGAACCCATGCGAACCCTAACGTTCGACGTTAGGGAAGAGCGCGACGGCATCAAAAGGCTGTATATCCGTGCTCCTGCTTTCGAGAATGCATCGGTACTTCCATTCGCTGAGAAAGCCAGGAATAGGTCTGTCACTGATAGAATGATAATATATGAGAGACTCAAGTACATGGAAGCTGAGGACAAGATCGAACGTGTAAGCTGCTCGGATGCTGCTATCATCCTTGAGCCGGTACTGGTGGACAAACGTG